GTACACGGGCTACAGGTGGGGGAGGAAGACTTGTCAGGGTAAGTACTGGCTACTTATCGACACTGGCCTCGTTGACATTCTGAGACAGTGTTCATCAGGTTTGTCCACCATCAAGTTGCTCTTTCCCCCTCTTTCCTCACTGCATTCTTCAGAAGGAAGCTGCTGCACATCTCATACTTAAGGGAGTGAAGTTGTGCTTCCCTTCCTCAATGGGGAGTTATTTACATAAATTATTTTGATTTCTCCTATATGGGAGGTTTCCCATTATTTATTCATTCATTAATTATTCATTCATCCAATCACTTAAGGCCTCCTGGGTATTTATTCCACATTCTGGAACCTACTATGTTTCAGTTTGTGCAAGCCTTTGATCCTGAGGTACCTGGCATTCTGAGGGCACCTAGTAAAATGCAGACACCCAATCTAATGAATGACAATTATCCATCCTAGAATACCATGAATTAGGAAATCGATGTCATCACCTCATTTTTAAATAAATGAAACAGAAACTGTTAGGATACACAGCATTTTTTCATGGAGCTGCACCTCTGGGGAAGGATGCTCCTGTTTCATCATGCATCTGTGAATTTGCTGTACCCTGAACCAGACTGAAAATGTGTTTCCATACGTCTCAGTCAGGACAGGAGTAGAGCCTCCCTGCCGGCCCTGGGGCCCTGTCCGTGGTCCTGCCCGTGGTCCTGCCCTGTGTCTTAGACTGTGGATTCCCGAATACACAGCGCTTGCCTCTCCAGCTGCCGGCAGCACTGAAAGCGACCTGAAGGAGGCAGGCTCTCAATGTCTTTTGCCTGACGCACTGAGATGAAATGAACAAGATGAAATTTTAGGAAAAAGGGTCAAATGACAGGCTCAGATCCTAGCAGTTAATGACACAGACAACAGGCCTGATCTCTTCGACAAGCCAGGATTCCAAGGTGGGGGCGAGGTGGAGAGAAAGGTGTTAGAGTAAGAGACCTGAGGGTCACTATACCAGATGCAATGCACAGTCCTGGGGATGAAATGGGCTTACACACAAGAGCTGAAGTGGACATTTTAGGTTCCAATAGGGAAATACGAAAAAGGTCTGTATATTAATTGTGATGAAAATCTACTGAAGCAGAAAGGCGATGATCATTTACTGGAGGAAAATTAGGTTTCAAAACTGTAAGGAATAATCTCATTTTCCAGAGGAGATCCACAGAGAAGCACAGAAACAGCTCTGCAAGGATATGACCAAGGGAAGTGTCACACAGGGGCTCCCTGGCATCCACATTTCCAATCTGCTACAGTACACATATACTGCTTCTGTAATAAGGAAGAAATCACTGGTCCTTCCCCAGGGAGAGGATCCCTGACTTGGCAGAGGTTTCCAAAACAGCCTCCTGGGGGCTTCAGTGGCCAGAAACTCAGTGTGAGTGGAGGGGATGGCACCACTGAAAAGGGAGCAGCACCCTGCACTCTGTGGCACGAGGTGAGGCCGGGGAGGGTGTCATGCCCGCCCCTTCATATTACTGTCAGGCAGTCACACAGTTTGTCATGGCAGCTCTGGCCCTGGCTGGGCTGTCTGGAAATGGCTTGGGGCCTCTGACAGAGAGTGCTTGGCATGGAGAAGGGAGGCTGGGTGTGAGTGGGGTGGGAAGTGGGGTGGGAAGCGACGGGCGGCACAGCTGTCTTCAAACATTTAAATGCTGCACACGGGAGTCCTTGGGCATCACCATGATGGCGAGGTGTCCGGTTTGTCACAGGAATGTAGAGGGGCAAGGTTCTACTGACAGGAGCCATCCTATGTAGGGGTAAGGTGGGGAGGCAGCCTGCGTCCTGAGAGGAGCTCCTCTGCTGGGGCTGCTCAGCCTGCCTCAGACAGGAGCCGTGGCCGAAGGAGGGGGCTCTACTGGCCTTGGGGCGAGAGAAGGATCACGTTGGCATGGGGAACTGGAGCACAAGCTTCCTAGGACAGGCACCCGAGTCGGAGTTCTCCAACCTGACACTGCCTCACTCTCTTCCACTACCCACTAACGCTCAGGGATTCCTGGGTCCTGGCTCATGGCCAGGTGCCTCGGGAGGGGTAATCATCACCTCCCACTTGCTACGTGACAGGGAGGCACGTTTCCTCCGGTGTTCTAAAGTGCCAGGCCTGACCTGTCCATCCCAGGAACAGAATGCCAGCCAGTGCCTATCTGAGGTTCATGGCCTCAGGCTCTCCCACAGGGCCCAAGGTCTCAGGTCGCCTTGGAAACTCATTGCTCAGGGCTTCTGTCCCCAGAAGAAAACCCTGATCATTGCAGAGTAAGAATGAGCAGAGGGTACTGATGCTTTCCAGCCAGGACAGTGCCCGTCCTCCCCAACAGTCCCCAGTCCCCATGGTGACTGGCAGTAAGAGGTCACTCACCTCTTGGCATTTATGGAGACTATTTTGTCCACCACTGGCAACACCAACTCTGCAATTCCAGCCCTGCTAACTGTCCACACAACTCCTGCTTTCCACCATGCCTGGGGTCCCCAGAAGAAAACACATTGCTCAGCTAGAGCTCCTAGGCTCGGCTCTGGCTGGCCTGCCGCAGCCCACACAGCCAGCTGCCAGCCAGGCCTGCCACGGAGCCCAAATTGGAGGTCACAGGCACTGGGCCGAGATCCCGAGTGGCCCCAGGCAGACACCTCCTCTGTGCTCCAGGCAGGGTGGGAGTAGTCAAGGCGCCAAGACCGCAGCGCGCTCCGCCTGGTACCTTCCGCCCCTGGCCTCGCCAGGCCCAGCGGGGCGCACCCAAGGCCCCTGCATCTCGATCTCCACCGGGTGCGGTGGTGGCAGGGCCCGGATTTGACAGCTCCCGGCCCCGAGCCGAGCCTCGAGGGGGTCTGCAGATCGCCCAGAGGGCTCCACACCGCCGGGAAGGGGAGGGGGCAGGCGGGCGCGTGATGCGGGCTGCACGGGGCTCGGGGCGCAGGCAGGGGACAGCGCTCGGGCAGGGGCCACCGCAGTCCGCGACCCGGCGAAGGGAGGGAAGGGGTCGGCAAGGCAGGTTCCCCGGGAAGGAGGCGCCGCGGCGGGCCCCGGGAGGTACGCGGGGAGGGAGAGGGAGCGGGTGCGGGCGCGGCCGCCTTACCTCCTCTCCACGGCCGAAGCGCATTCCGAGCGCCGCGACGCGCTCCACGCGCAGGAAGCCGTCGGGGTCGCGGCCGCACACCTCGAACACCTCGCGCAGGCGGCGCACGGCGCGCAGCAGAGCCGCGGGGGCGCCCGCCCAGCCCGCGCCGCCC